ATTGAAACGAGTAATTATTCGGAGACTTTTGCACTTTCAGTGATTTGGTGATCGGAGGGAGCGTGCACAGGCACAAACATATACATAAAGCGAATTGGGTTTCACTTAATGGACACACCACAAACCAGGTATATTTCATCTCAATCTCAAAGAAGTGGAGACGCAGCCTGCTGTACACAAAGTCTGGAAGGCGAGGAGATGTAGGCAAAGATGATCATCTAGTACTAGGAACCTTCAAGATGAAGCTGATATCCCTGAAAACAAATGAAGACAGACCACTGTAGCTCAAGTTCAACATTCAGAAACTGAAGGACAAAACTGCAAGGAATTCCTTCGCTACACACCAAATTGGAGCAGTCTTAGACACTGCATCGTATCACCGAGGGAAACTGTGGAGGATCATTTGAAGTCTCTGAAGTCAGTGTTCAAGGAGACGTGCAGATCTTTTCTAGAAAGATGGACCAGGCACGATATGGAATAGCTCTGAGCAGATACTGTGGGGCTAGCAGACGGCAGGAGCATGGCAAAAAGGAACATGTCCCAATGCGAAGGTGGACAACAGAAAGAGAAGCCAAGGTCAGTGTAAACTGCATTGAATAAAGGAGTGAATAAAAATGCCGAGAACGACTAAAACACGATTCCACAACGAACTGTCTGAAGAAGAATACGCCGAAGGTAAAAGGGAGCTCAGGACATTATGACTGGTGATGAAGTCTCTTTCCGGGAAGAGATCAACCCAGATGATGAGACCAATATAAGATGTCTAAGGGAACCTGGTTACTAAGGAGGAGGGACGAATAAAACAATGTGCTGATAACTTCGAAGGATTCTTGAACCAAATATAACCTGCGACTTGCTCAGAAACACCGCCGGCAACAACATGCACATGGCTGCCTGCCAGTTGACCCAAATCCACCAACAAAGGCAGAAATCTTGAATGAGATCAAGCTACTGAAGTCCGACTGAGAAATTATGAGCATCAGACGGAATAGCCCCCAAAGCACTGAAAACGGAGCCAGGGAATGTGGCTGATGTTCTCACGCCATTATTGCAAGAGGTTTGGAAAGAAGGAAGGGTACCTGCCGATTGAAATAAAAGCCGTCTCGCCAAACTGCGAAAGAAGGAGCCATTAGGCCTCTGGAGTGCAGAACTCCGTCCGGAACAAGCCGGATTCAGGAAAACCAAGTCAAATTGCAACTCTGGACATCGTCATCGAACAAGGCATAGGATGGCAGCCAAACCTCTACCTCAACTCCATCGGCTTCGAAAAGACCTTCGACAGGCAGTGCTGACCGAGAAGTAATTTGGTAACTAATTCGACACTAAGGCGTGCAGCGTCCAAGTCTTAATCAACCTCGCTCAACAGCTGGCGATCTACAATGAAATCTCAGTGAAGCATTCAAAACGTATGCAACAGTATGATAGGACTGTTTGTTATCATCGACGACATTGCTTACTGTAATGAACTGGATTGAGCGTTGGACTGTGTGTGAGAAGACGGGAATACGCCGGACCGACAAGAAAACTCTACAAGGTCTGGATTTCGCAGATGACTTATGGTTAATGTCAAACAAACTGGAAGACTTTCAGGTGGGAGCCAACAAACTGGCAGAATAGGCTGGTTATCAGCAAAGACAGGAGTGCGGGCGAACAGGGAAGATGGGGTTCACGAAAATAACCGACCACCACCAACAGCAACCATCACCAATCACCATCAACGGGAGAGATTTAACTGAGGTTACCTCCTTCATGTATCTAGGAAGCATCGTTTCAGCAACAGGTGGAAGGGATGAAAATGTCATTGCAGGCTTGAACTGGAAAGGCAATATACGCCTTCATCAACCCGAAACAAGTTCGAAAATCTCCAACGCTCAGTCTGCATAAGGAACATCCAGACTTCCAACACAGATGTGAAGTCAATCAGCCCTTCAGTCCGTGTCAGAACATTGAAGTGTTTCAAGGAAAGGATTTCGAACAAGTCATAGACTATTATCGACGACTACCTTTACTGGCTCCATACTGAAGATCAGATGGCCGACTGGTCAGAAAGAATTAGTCACAAGGAACTCTGGGTAGGAACAGATGAACCAAGAACCGATCACCCAAACATTATGTAGGAGAAAATTCAGATGGATCGGCTATATATTGAGGAAACCATCGAATGACATCTCACGCAATGCAGGCCACCACCCGAGTGGAATCCCAACAGGAAGCGTTAAGTGGGCCGTGGGTTCGAGAGTGGAGATCGTTTAGTGAGGAGGAGATGAGGGATTATGGGCAAGCGTGCATGCAGCCGAAGGGGAAAATAGAAAAATACACAAAGTGTAGACGTGCTGTTGAAGCCCTATGTTCCACACGGAATCCAAGGGAATAATAATAAATAATATAATATCTGATCTAGTTAGGCAATATTTTACACTTGCTTTGAGATTCAAAACATGTTACTTGTACAAAAAATACCATGAAATTTACGCTTATATAATACAATCCGCTGTTAGTAATAGTGACATCGAAACATACTACAGGAACACATCAATACTTTATCAGAGGTCTTAGGAGCGAAAATCTTAGAAACATAGGCTGCCAATGTCCACGCCTAACCACACTGGATGTAACACTGTCCTTAGAGGACTTTCAGTAACTGTGACCAATAGCCAAAGCGAAAAACCAGAACACAGATTGGTGACTCAAGAATAATTTATTCTTGCACTAATATGGAAGCAAACATAAGGTTATTATACAAAAAGTCTGAGAACAAATGTTGTCAACGTAGTTGAACGATCAATTCGTGGTTGTTTGCTCAAACCCAACTCTATATTTTGGCGGGAGTCATCAATACGGCAGTCATCCGCTCATCGTTCGCTGTTCGTCGGAAGAGAGAAAACTATCGGAGGTATTATCGTGATATATTGTTACAACATTTATTCTTGGACCTTGTGTATAATAACCTTATTGTTGGTAACATATTGGCGTAAGAATAAAGGATTCTTGAGTCACCAATCTCTGTTTGGGTTTTTCACGTTGGTTATTACACATTATTTCTGAAAGTCTTCCAAAGACAGCGTGAGGTCTAGGTAGTAAGACCTGGACATTGACACCGACAGTAAGCCAAAACTCCAACTTGTTTCCAGCGTTCTGGCCATAAAATACCAGCAAAATCAAGAGTGGTAAACTCAAGACTTTGAACCGTTTTACCTCACCCTGTTCTTGGTGTTGGGAAGCCGGATAACCTCATGTCTCAAGGCCTGTATCATATTTATCTTCAACGTAATTCTATTTGATTCCGTTTGATTTTGTTTTGGATTTGGTCGAAGACGTCAGTTAGCCATCCTCAAATATCATTGCGCAGCGCCTGTAATAAACGACAGTTTTGTTTGTTCCATTATGAAGTTCATCAAGACGGTCTTCTCCCTCAGAAAAAGCTTCCAATCATATGTGAACATAACATTTATCCAAATATAGGCTGTCCATCAGATGGATATAACTACCAGCATGAAACGGAAAAAAGTTTCGATTCCCACTAAACCTTATTAATGACCTCATTGAGGGATTTACAGTTTAGCTTTCATACGGACCTGTTCTGATTGACAGCACTGTAATTCACCTATTTAAACTGTTAAAAAGTGCTAATTTGTTGAGATTTCACTATCGCCATTTATACAATGTTTGATCGTGTTTGTAGAAATGGTACGCATTTCATGTAACATAAATTATTATTATTAAACGTTTATCTGATTAATAACTCTTGCTTTAACATTTCGATGATTGAGAACAACAGCAGTTTTTGTAGGAAGGGGGTATGTGGGCTCTTGGCAAAATTGATGGGAACAGAGAACTCCTCAGTGACTTCAGTGATTTCGGATGGTGGAAAACACCCACATGGTCATTAGAAAGAAGTAATAATGAAGTTAGAGAACGAAGTAATATGGAAACTACTTCAACACTATGGAGTGCAGTGCCTCAAATCGATGTTAGCATTATTCTGCAGCTATATGACAGAATCACAAGCCAGGTGATCCACAGTGGGAAACTAATCAAAGTGAATGCAAGAATAATACAAGTTAGCCCATTGTCACTGATAATAATCCTGACTGTAGCAGAGCGAATCGTGTAGCAGGGAGTAAGTAGTGAGAAGACGAAAGTACAATAGGACGACCGGAAAGCCTTAGAATATCTGGACTTTACATATGGTTTAAAAAAATATAAACTTGATGATCTGCAGGCAGAAACCGAAAGTTGGCAGTAGAAACAGTACAGAAATAACTTCAACTTACCTAGAAAAAGCTAAGGTATTGAAGATACCTAACCAACAACAAGCAGCAATCACTATCGACAGGGAAAACTGAAGGTCACTTCATTCACTTACCCATGAAACATCGTTACAACTATGGGTGGCAAGGATGAAGATGTCGAAGCCAGTATCTAAAAGGCAACACTAACCTTTATTGATGTGAAATTAGTTCGGAAGTCTCCTGTACTGAACTCAGCAGAAATAACGAAATTCGGTTTTTCCATATTTCTCAAAGACTTTACGTGTCACGAAAATCACATCAGGTACGCTGCAGACATTGACAAGTAGCCTAAATGGCTGGCTATGTACTAAGATCGGATGGCCAGAGAAAACTCTTTATAACCACACCTGGTGACGAAATAACCAAGGATCTATCACCCGAAAAATATGCCAAAAGAGATGGAGATCGATAGTACACGCGCTGAGGCTAAAGCTGAGTGGCATCGCGAGCTATGTCCCTGGGTTAAATCTAGATGTGAAACGATGAGTCTGTCGTGGGATCAGGGTGACAGGGAGATATTTGTGTGAGGAGGAGATAAGAGATCCTGGGTAATAGTGAAGACAGTTGGGAATGACTGTATAGAGAAAGTTGAAATGGAGATGTAATATAAGACCACATTTTCCAATCGGAATGATGGTGTAATATTATTGATTCTGTAACTCACTGGAGGCTAATATGCAGCCTATATTCAGCAGCATTTGTATTACAGCTTGCTTCACGCGATTGGTTTCTTGTGCTTTTGTATTCTTTTGTTGATTATGGTATCTCTTTCATGCTAACGTCCCTTACTGGCGTATTAAATTCTATGAATGAGGTCGCAGTAATCCAAACAGCCGAAATGTTCGATAAATAAAACTCCTAAAACTCTAGCTTAATTGACATGAGTGGTGTTGGACGTTCGACATTTTTTGCATCTAATTCAGTGAACTTTCGCAGCGGGAGATATAAAGCTTTTCTGAGCGGGAGGTCGAATTGGTAACTATTCTGAATATAATATCATATATCTGTCCGGTCACTATTACTGATGCTTAAAGCTTGAATTCACCGTCGTTATTATTTATTTGTCAATATTTTCCTTTTAAACTGTATGTTGTTTTATTTCAGATTTGAATACCGGCTGGGTTATTTTTGGTTGCAGCAAATTTAGTTTCGCCCCTCCCTCTGTATTTGTATTCAGTGAAAGTTTAAGCAACCAAAATATTTCATCTAACTCACTTGTATTTGCTTCACTGGCGTATATGCGCGTTAGTCTGCTAATTACTCCCTTAAAGTAGGTATTTAAATGCTTAGTTTTACTATCAAAAACTTTGGGGTTTTAAAATTTTGAATTGATAAACTTCGTAAAAGTTTCTGAAGCCTAGATTGTGTGATTTGCTTCTTGATTGAAACTAGTTTCTAATTACTGAATAGCACGCATTGAGTTTTAAAACTACAAATTTGTAGAGTGGAAAGACTTGCTTGTAGAAATCAGAATCAACATAAAGTGTATGTGTTTGAAATAGTTTAATATCTTGTTTGTTGTTAAAGCCGCTCGCAATCGGATGAATTTAGACATTTGAAACCGAAGTGCTTAAGTAAAAAATTTAAGTGTATTTCTTTTTACTTCTTTTCTCATACACCGCACGAAGTAAAGTCATCTAAATCTGTACTTAAAATCGGTCAAATTCACATGGCATTTGGCTGAAATTAATTGTCTTAACACCATTGGGACTTTATTTTGTCCTGTATTGTGCATTTGAAACGCATGGTTGTATACAACAAACGTTTTTTCATTTCAAAAGCTGAACTATGTACTGAAAACCTATTCCTTGCATTGGGTACCTCTTGTGAGTATTTTGCAGGCCTGTAAGGTATTGAGTTAATTGCAACCGGTAGTAATGTATGCAGGAATTTTCAACCCTTTTTAAACTTCTCAAAAGGAATCGTAGACCGTACCATAGACAAAAAGATGTTTGAGTTGTTGGGGGTGTATCTGACCGGCAGTTACTTATCTAAACTTCAAGGAGATGTGTTCCTGTGAACCAAATAAATTTTTTTGTATATTGCATATATATAAATGATGAATACTTTTAGTATATTTTTATCCATAGTTTTTCTTATTCACTTTGTGTTTATATGACCTTTTAGTTTGGTTTTTGAAGTTTTGTAATGGTATCTACGTACAAAGTTCTGATCCTATTGTTTTATCTTCCTGTTAAGAAATCAAAAGGAATGACTTACACCTATAGTACTATTTAATCAGTGTGACAATTACTCAGTGATTCTTGTTTATTGTATTAAACGTAAGAAAATATAGAAGTCTACCTAACGTTGTTTTGCGCATCAGCAAATTCAAGCTTAAATTGTTTAGAACTTTGCAGCGAATTATTAGTATGAAGCAATACTCGATGGAGAGTCGCTGTAGTATTCAGCAATCATTTTGCTAATAATAGCATGTTATTTCCCTTTAGTGACTTAATCTGAATAAGTATTTATTGTTTTAATTAATTTTCGCTCGGCACGTTTCCTGAACGAAGGTAGCAAAATTAAACGTTAGTTAATACGCACAAAAGTGATATTTCCAAAATATCTCACAACTCTACTGGAGTGTTGAAAGGAGGTGCAATAAGATATTTAGAGTTACCTATACATAGAGTAGTGAATTTACCTGTACAACCCATTCGTAACATTTTAGATATCCTAATGACGTATCTCGTAATCCCTCATACGCCTAGGCAGTAAGACATGTAGTCTACATATATTCTAGTACTACCGTATAGTAATCCAGGTTAACACATTGCATAACAAATGGGTAACAAGATATGAAGAGAAGTAGCCGATTAAAGAAGTTGTAGATAGGTTTTATGATAATTACTCTTGTTAATTCAATCTAAATCTGACCAGTCATGAGTAGTTAGTGCCATGTGAGTCTCCATCAAGAATTTTGTATTTAATATTTCAATTTACGATTCTTAAAAATGCATGAAAAACTTGGGACGTCTGTTATCTGTTCTAAATAAAGAATCGAGTCATAACTTGTAAAGTACACTGTTTCTTTAGTAGACACTAATTTAACTCATTTCTGTTGCTGACTAAGTCAGATATCAAATGTGAGAGTACTATCACTAAGCTATATTTTAGCGGCAAAATTAAGGTTGGTATTGTAAGTCTAGAAAGCCTATCACTATGAATGTTTTGAAGTCAAGTGGATCTTTATGTGGTGCTGACCATTCGTCTCGTTTTTTTATGCTACATTGTCTCGTATGAAACTTCATTACACATGATTTTCTTTATTATTTTCTTTGTAGCTTTAATTGACTTTTTCCTTTAAAATGTCCACTTTTCGAAGAATTGGTAAAAGGCTTGTTATGATTGGTGCACTATCTGGTGTTAGTGCCGCCTTCCTTCTTGAAGCTATTCCAAAAATTAATGAGGCCAGAAGAATGAAGGTATGATGTGTGTAACGTTTTCTTGATAAGTTGAATTAATATTTGTGTGTGTGTGTATACAAGTGAGTTATTATTTTCTGAGGATTGTATTTGATACTTGCTAACACTAGCACTTAGTGTTAATTGAAGTACCTATGTTGGATATTTTATTTTATTTATTTTTTTGATTACAGCTTGATTCCACACTGTATTTTTGGTACAAGTATGGAATTTTCAGCGAGGATATCGGTAGCCCAAATTTTGCAGGCCGACCATAGATATCAGGTGTGCGTCGGCAGGGAGTCGAACCTCGGACCATGTGCATGGTCGGCGAGAGTCCTAACCACTGTGCCACCGACGCACACCTGATATCTATGGTCGGCCTGCAAAATTTGGGCTACCGATATCCATGCTGAAAATTCTATACTTGTACCAAAAATACAATGTGGAATCAAGATGTAATCAAAAATAAATAAATAAGTTTAGACGTTCAAATGTGGAGGTTTGCAAAGAGCAAACTGTTTTATGCCATTTTAAATCTCCAAAGATTGATTTACAGCATCTGAGAGCCCCAACTATGCAACAGACGACCGAGAATACCCTTCAAAATTTCCCAACTTGGTGTAATATTTCCCTGCCTTTTCCTAGTTCAGCCAATATTATTGTTGTTTAGGAAAGTCACTGAATAGGTTTATTTAGCACGTGTTAACCACCTAATTAACTGACTTTTATCCTTTACTTAATATTCTGCCTATCTTGAAATTATTGTCTTTATGATTCTAACTATGACTTGAGTAGTACAACTTGTGAATTGTTCTGTTGAAGGTGAAAATTCATCACGATATCCTTCAGAATGTGGGCACTGTCGTGCGGAAATTTGTAGTCAACAGTTGCAAGACTACAGTCTAATTTATTTTGACTTTTGCTGACTATTACAGCACCATTTAAAGTGTCATATTACATAAATCAGTAGCCGTAATTAACACTTTCAACCCTAGTATTAAATTTGGCAAAACAGATGTCAGTAATTGTTTGGTAAATTCAGTTGTTGGTTTGTAGGGACTTGATTGGTTACAGGATTTCATCATGAGCTGACATCAGTTAGAGAACCACTGGAATACCTGGGAGTACTGGACAGCAGTTTCCTCCGTCCTAGTTTGAGACTCCTTATCAGTACGCACCCACCGGGGTTCGAACCCAGGATCTTCTGGCTAAAAAGCGAGCTTATAGACCATTGAGCCACTGGGATCCGACCTAATGGTCCTTGAATTCTAACTTCTTTTGTAAGTGCGAACGCGTTTTTACCACCACTTCTAACTAGAGAACCATTGGAAAACCAGGGAGTTGCTGGTTATCTAACCGATATCAGCTTGTGTTAAAACATGCAACCAGTCAGCGGTCCCTGCAAGCGAACACTCCTGCTTTTTATTTTCGTTAGTTGATTTTTACAGACAGTTTGTTAACAGAGCTGGTGTTATACACCTAACCTTTTAAAATAAATCTACGATTCAGAAAGTGTTTTAACGCCTTTCAAGTTAATCAGATCTTATTAAAGTGAAGATCATGTAATCAAAAAAAAAAAACAAATCATTACATCGCATGTATTTATACTACCAGGATGAAAAGGCAGTATGAACTAGGATAGCATAAATACCAGTTGGGTAATATCTGACTAACAAGTGCTGTATTAAATTATCATAGAGTGAAAATTGAAGCAGACTGAATAACGCTTACTACTTGTGTACTTTGTTGATGTAGTATGAAAGCTCGAGTAGAAATTATGTAAAAAACACCGTAGGACTTCCAAAAACAATGTGCATTACTAAATTACGATCAGCAACGATAAAGAAGTTGGAGATAATTTTCAAGTATTGGTTTTTTGTAGGAATTTTGTTTGATTGATTGGAGGATTTCATCATGGGCTAAAATCAGTTAAAGAACCATTGGAAAACCACCTGGGAGTACTGGACAGCCTAGTTTGGGACTCTTCAGCAGTACGCACCCACCGGGGAGATATTTGATAACAACAATAGCCTAAAGAAAATAATTCAAAATGAGAGTTAAAGGTCATATTACAAGGATGTAGGCACATAAGGTATCTTCTGTGTTTCTTATTCTAAGATCAGATAGGTTGTGTCTCCCTGACCACTAACGCGGCACCATTTGTTCTGTACTATCTCTAGTTCAGCTGTCGCATTTCTATAATATAGACGCTAAGCAGTGTTTAAAAACGAATTCAATTATGTGCATAGGCTTACCAGTCTATCGATCAAATTCACATGAAAGGACTTTTTCCGTATTGTTTAAATCGCTTTATGTTACTTACTCTGTAATGTTTTGCTCAAACTTAAATACTTCACTAAATGTAGTGTCTTTTACTTTCTAGGCTTCATTTCGTTTCTATGGCATAGTTTTTTAATTGTGTTTGTTACCATTAGTAACTGTTTTGATAATATATCTCACTTTTTTAGCCTTGTTAAACAACTGTAATACAGATGACTTTATAAATTCTTATCATTATCATTTCCGACTAATTTAGGCCTTACAATCAAAACCTAAGCCTTCAAAAGAAGAAATAGAACGCTTTGAAAAACCTTTACCAACTCGTGATGAACAATTGAAACGTATGGCATCAGGTGAAACCTTTGACGTTTTGATAATTGGTGGTGGAGCCACAGGTGCCGGTATCGCAGTTGACGCCGCATCTAGAGGTGAGTGTGAAGTTTGTCTAGTGTTTGTGCGGTGATAAAACGAAGTAAAAAAACACCGCCCACAGAACGTTGTTTGGGCAATTCGTAAATAAATAAACAAATTATCTGTCTAAATGTTTGAGAAGAAGACAAGTAAGACTTGATCAAAACTATTACATTTCTGAGAACAAAAAAAAAGAATTCTTCAAGGCGTTGTCAAACAGACTTTCTCCTCAGTTCTTGTTGTGGTGTGTATACTCAGTTATAGGACGAGTCCACCAGCAATTAGTCTTCAGCCAAGGTCTTATGCTTGTTTGTATTCATTAATAGATCGTTTCTATAAGCTTAAAAAAATTCAGTTCTTCCATATGGTTCAGATACCAAGAACCCAACGAATTTGCCGAAGAAAATAAACATGGATGAGACACATACTGAGGAGACCGTCAAGTAACATCACGCACCTGGTCATCCCTTGGTTGGAATCCGGAAACGGCGCCCTGGGTGTCCGAGAGTGACGTGGAGAAGATCGTGTGAGGAAGATATGAAAGTTCATGAGGAGTTGTGCAGCCAGCTGAGAAGGACCGGGAGACGGTATGAAATAGAGATGCGCTGTTGTAGCCCTATGTTCCATTCGGAACCTAAAGGAATAATAATAATGATAATATTAGGATAATATACTAATATTCTCTTGGTACGGAAGTAGAGCCCTGTACTCTGGGGGATTAGTGGGATATACCAAGTGTTTAGTGTCTTATTCATGTACCATAGTGATTGTTTTTTCAATTTTAGAAAAGTAAATTTTAAATCCACCTTTAAGCTTTTCATGATTGAGTTAATAGCTTCCAGTAATTGAGCATAGTTGAAGCAGTTGCCACCAGTTGCGTCTAAAATATTGACTGCTGTCTTTCTTCGCAGGCTGTGCAAAATACGTGAGGGATTGATTCGCGAAGAGTAGGCTGGGTCTCGTTCAGATCGTGGACGTATTGATCATGTGTTCACCCTCCATCAGTTGTTGGAACACCGCCACACGTATTGCAGGCAAACGATCCTTGTGTTTCTTGATAGTAGGGCTGCCTTTGATTCGTTAGACAGAACTTTGCTCTGGAACTGTCTGTTAGAGAGGGGCATACCTGAGAAGTTTGTTGACATCTTGAAAGCCCTATACAGAAATACCTCAGGTAGAGTGAGGGCATACAACCAACCGTCACCACTGTTCCCAACAAACTGTGGGGTTAGACAGGGTTCCTCAGTCTCTCCATTTCTCCTTAACTTTGCCGTCGATAACATTCTGGAGTCAGCTCTGAAGGATGTGTGTGAATGTGGTGTAGATCTGCTCCCTGGAGATAAACTTTTTGACGTCGAGTATGCAGATGATATCGTCTTACTGTGCGATAGCATGCAGGCTGCCAAAATCGCACTAAATCAGTTGACTATCAGCGTCTGTAAGTACGGTATGTGTTTTGCGCAGTCTAAGTGCGGAGTACTCTTACAAGATTGGCAGGAGCCTGTACCTGCACTCGCTTTTGCGGGTGAACCGCTTGAAGTTGTTGATAAGTTTGTGTATCTGGGTAGTTGTGTGGATGCTGGCGGAGGGGTGACGAATGACATTTCCAACGGTATAATAAAGGCTAGGGTGGGGTACATCTTTGCCGCCGTCGCGATGTTAGCCTCGCTGTCAGAGGTTGGGTATAGAATGCTTCGGTTCGGGCTGTCTTGCTCTACGCCTGTGAAACCTGGCCTCTCCGAGCTGAGGATGTGCGGCTACTCTGCGCGTTCGATCATCGCTGTCTCCGCAGGATTGCTTGGGTTTGATGGCATCATCGCGTGAGTAAATCTGAGGTTCAGTGGCGTGTGTTTGAACACAGTGGAGATCACCATTCATTGAGTGTCGTCATCCGGAAACGGCGGCTCCGGTAGTTTGGACATGTGCTGAGAATGTCATCCCAGAGGCTTCCGTACAGGTCTCTGTTTGCTAACCAGCCCTGGGACGGAATGGAAAAGGCGGAGGGGTGGTCAGTCAGTGACGTGGCGTCGTGGGATGAAGGATGTTTGTGCTAGATTTGCATCGGTTGGTGTGTCACGACTCCCTAGTTGGGGTCCGAGAGACAGCTCGAATCAATGGCTTGAAACGTTATCGGATATGGCCAAAAATCGTAATCAATGGTGAACGTGTTGCAATTTACTTCTTTCTTTCCTTCCCGATGATAGTTGACGAATACTGTTTGAACTTGTTAATTATGTCTGTTTTCCTTCCAAATGAAGTTCTTTATCCGTTTTTTACTTATATTTTTACTTTTAATCTATGTTGTTTCCTTATTATTGTGTGGCGCATCTTCTTGGTGCCATATTGTACCAAGTTTTTTTGCGGTTAAATAAATAAATAATAGTCACCATCGAAAATTTTAAACATATTCTAGGTGTTTGGAAGAATTTTGTGTGCTGTTTTTTCCCTCTGTGATCTGGAAAAATTTCTGTCCTTGTGATACCAGGTAACTGCTATCTTTTGATATAGTTGTGTTCTCTGAGCTGGTTAACTTAATTGTGGAGCTTTCATTGTCCACCATCTAGACAACATCTCCAGCGCAGGTTTTGTGGTATGAAATGAGCTTATTTGAATTCTCCATGAGTGATATAATTGTATATCCTGACAACCAATCACGATAGTGGTTTGTCAGAAGGATAACGAAAACTCCGCGATTAAATCGATCAGCTCAGAGAACACAATCGAATAAAAATTATCCACCTGGGCTACAATTCCTCACTAACTGTTATCTATATTATTATTATACATAGTTGTGATAAGAAATGTTGGTTTTTATTTCATCATATATTGTAGAACCAAACACTTTACTATCAAATTGTTGTGGCACAATAATTATTTTTCATTTCTATCCCTTAACAATATAATGACTAACCACAGAGATTGTGCAAGTGCCATTGGTGGTTCAGTGGTAAAATGAATACTTGCCAACCACTCCCACGTTATCCGGGGTTCGATCCTCAGCCGATGCACTCCTAAACACTTCGTTTAGCTGGTAATAAACCGAATAAAAGCGGAAACCTTGGGCGTAAGGCTAACAATCCTACCCTGTAAAAAGAACAACACTAGCACTACTGAAACTTGTACACTGAAGTTTGAAGCTCCGTACAAATGTGCAAAAGCATAAAACAACCCCGAGATAATAATAATCACTTGCATGACCTTGATTTGTGTCCAATTATTCATTTATATGAAATGCAATTCTGTCAGACATTGTAGATGTGAAACGTGTGTACTGCATAATGTTAATATGTAATTGTGAAACCTGATGACAGACTGCTGAAAACACCTGTTTCCGTAGAATCATTAATAGTTTCAATCTGAAGTACGTCAATATCATATTTATCTAATGTGATTTCCAAATACTTGGAAAAATATAGCTCTGTTTAGAACTAAGTCTCTAAGTATCAGACTATCGCTCGAAATGAATACTGAAGGTACGAGTGGCTGTGAGACCTGGCCATTGAGAGTGGAAGACATGAAAAGCCTGGCTGGCTAAGTGTCTTTGATCTTAGGCGTCTGCGCCCTACTTCTCGTGTTACGTGGTATAATAAGGTGAGCAATATTAAGGCTATGCATAGGTCGAGTTCTAGGTAAGGAGGGGAAATCAATCGACGAGGCTGTGGAACTACATTGACTGAGATGGTTAGGACATGTGTTACGCATGGATGTCTAGCCATCGCCTTCCTCGACCGACGGACAGTGTTAGCTGACATAAAATCAGGTTGGAAAAGAACCAGTGGTGATCGAACCACAACATGGCTTCATCAGTCAATGAAATCCACAACAGTTAGTTTAAGCCAGGTAGGAAGGTGTAGACTTCGTGTTTGACTGGAGATAACTGGTGACATGGCTCAAAATTGTCATTGCCAACGGCGCAGATGCATCCACTCCTTGTGGCTTATAATATCCAATAAAGCTATATTGTTCTTCCATATTGCTATTCATTTTGCCTCTTATCCCTGTTTTGCATTTCTTTCTACTTTCTTCTCTTGCTTTATTTGCTCCATGGAGTGTGGCGACTTGAACTGCTGCACATCGGTGCAAAGTTCTGTGTTGAAATCAGTCAGTCACTTGACTAAAACTATTTTCAATTTAAGGAATAACATTCTGGTATTATTTGTTATTAACTATTATTATCTGGTTCAAACTGCACGTAGTATCCTTTATCAAAAGATTTTATCCCTATATTATTTTTACTTCATTTCGCCTAATTAATTAAAATGTTCTGCATCACACTGAACTAATCACGTATATGACGTCTTCAGGAGAATCAAGTTGGCTTAGAAATGTCAGTCAATTATCAATTAACGATGTTGTTGTTTTTTATTCCTTTACGTTCCCAGTGGAACACAAGGCTTCAAGCTAGAGGCTTGAAGTTTCGGTAGCAGTAGTGTTTATTTTTAGGGGATGGGGTTGCTAGCCAGTCTCATGCCCAACCTTCCCTCCTTACCCAGCCTCATTACTGCCTCAGCGACGTAAGGGAGTGCGTCGACCGGGGTTCGAGCCCTGGACTACATGCGTGGTCGGAGACCGTTCTACCGCTGTGCCACCGACGCACAATTAACGATGTAATCATGGGAAAAAGAGGTTAATTGACCGATATATGTTTGTTTTCTATCTTTGACAGTGATAGTACCTTTTCAAGTCACTTTTTTAGGACACATGGTAAATCATTATCGGCTGTTACTTCTTGACCAATCAAATGTTTGTTTTTTAAAGTACATGAATAATGTAGAGGTGTATCGCAAGTGTTTTGAAATAATCCAAATAGAAATATATATACAAATCAATTTAGTTAAAGAGAAGTAATATCGCTTTTTGAATATAAGTTTCAATTTTCTGTCACAATTGAAAGTGAATGCTTTGTACTTTTGGGAATTTCACACATTGTTTACAATAGGTGTGACACTATTTAATGTGAAGTGTTTACATATATACATAAGTATATTGTTACAAAGTTCACGGTCTGTTTATTTCA